GTGGCTCCCCCCAGGGTGTCCTCACTGTGCAGCTCTTCCTGGAACAACACAGCACGGATGTGGTTCAGAAGTGCCATGGCTTCCACTTCCAGCACTCCCACAGTGCCCAGTTTGCTCTGGTGGACACCCTGGGCTGCCCAGTTATCTCTCAAGGAATCCAAACAAATTCTTGCTTCCACTTCTTGCCCCAGCGTGAGCTGGACCACGACTTGCAGGAACTTTGTGTAGAGCTCAGGTTTCAAATCCTTCACTTTATCTTCAAGGTGAAGGAGTTTATCCTTGAAGGAAAGGAGTTTATCATGTGGCATCTGGGATAGAATATTGAAAACTTCCTCAAGGCTTGCCTGGAGGTCGTTGCTCTGTGCCATCTCCTCAGCTGGTGGCCCAGATGATGGACTGAAGCAACATGGGTGGAAAAAGTGTATTATGGCACTGGGAGTGAAGGTTTGTCCTCCAGGGGTGCTGTGATGCCCTGGTCACACTCCACGTACCACCCAAGAGAGGGCTCTTTGCTGCTCAGGGGCTCATCTCAGAACTGAGACCTCTCTATCCCGAAGAACCTGTGAGAAGAAGACAGGACAATGTTCAGAAATAGTGATGTGGGGAGCTGGGGGGGTCCTGGCAAGGCTTGTGGGGCTCCCAGGCTTCCTCAAGGCTCTCAAGTTTTTCTGCATGTGCTGCAGGTCTGCCAGGGCTCCACTCAGATTCCTAGAGTGGTGGGGTTGGAAGGGACCTTTGGAGATCATCTAGTCCAACCTCCTGCAGGATCACCTGGAGCAGATCACACAGGAACACATCCAGGCAGGTTTTGAGCATTTCCATGCACTATCCCAACTCTGTTAGAAGCAAAGACCAAGCTCTTGGAGTTCATTTCACACGAATCACAACTGTTTCAAAATAACTGCTGAACTGCCAACGCATTCACATCAATCCAAGTGTCTGTGTCCTCCAGGCAGCTGGATCCAGTGGCCTCTGGGGCTCCTTGAGGTGGAAGTCAAGGAATAAAGCCCACTTAGAGGAAGCCCTTTCAGATTTGCTTGTGCCAGGAGGGTTGATAACCCCCAGGAGTCTGTCCAGCTGCCCAGTGGGACGGTGGACATTGGATCTCCATCCACATCCCACCCCTGAGCCCTGCCCACCCCCCACACTCACCAGAGGCCTCTGACCGGGGTTAAATTAAACAGCAAAACTTGTGGGGAGTGCAGGGAGCCCGGCGGGTCCACAAGGGTCACTGCTCCCCAGCACCGACTGAACCTGGTGGAGAAACTTTCCTTATTTAAAGGGAGCACCCGAGAACGCCCCAAAGTAGCTCTCGACCGGGGAAAGTTTCTCATTTCAAATTCTTCTTCCCTCTCTCATAAAAATCCTCCGGTTGCTTAATGAATGAGCTCAGGCTGAAGCCCAGGAAGTCGCTGGTGCTTCCTGTGAAAACCTGCGATGCAGTGAAACGGCGGCGGGAGGGCGAGGGCAGGCGCTGGGAGCGGGGCCGGGACCTCTGCCCCTTCCTCCC